GAGAATTTGCTCATCGGTTGGTAAAGACAGAAGCCACTGAGGAAGGAACAACGAGCAGCTAAGTCACCTAAGGTCTGCTAGTGTGGAGAGCTGAGTCCAGCCCAAGGGAAACTCAGTGTGATTGTCGTTGTTCAAGATCTGGTCTGCAGATACAACGTTGTACCCCAAACAGCGGGTTTAACATTCGCAACAAGTGCTGCCCAGTTCCAGTGTTGGGTACGTCCGTGTCCATTTTCAAAGGCACTCTCATCCCAGGATTAAGCTACTCGGGTGGTCGGGTTACTAGTCAGAAGGTTCTTACCAGGTTCAGGGGTGAAGAAAAGGAAAGGTAATCTGGAAATGTATCTCATTTACGTCATGGTTGATGACCCCTTTGAGGATATCTCTGCAGATTTCTGGCTCTTATTCTTTTTTTTTTTTTTTTTTTTTTTTTTTTTTTTGACACAGAGTCTCACTATGCAGCTCTAGCTAGTCTTGAAATCACTTTCTGGTCTTGAATTTGCAATGATCCTCCTGCCTCAGCTTCCCAAGTTCTGGGATTCTAGGATTGTGCCACCACAGGTGGCTTCTTATTCTCAAATAACACAAGAGCTCAGGGATGTGGACTTGGCCATCTGTGCCCACGGACCTACGGGCTCATCAGTATCATGGTGGTTAGGTTCTGAAAACTCCGAATTACGTCACCAGCCAGATCTTTGACTTAGGCTCCAGACTCCCATGCCCAGCTGCCTGCTTGCCCCTCTATGTGGCAAGACATCTCTGCACACATCCCTGGTTCTGCTTGCTCCATGCAAACCCTTGTTTTGCCCTCTCCAAGCTGCAGCATCCATCACCTTCTCCTAGTGACTGACGGGAACTCCATCCTCCTAGGTGCTCAGGCCAAGGTCCTTAGCAACATCTTGCCTTCTCTGCCTTCCTTGGATCCCACATCCAATCCATCAGATACTTCCATTCTCAAAAACTATCACCAGAAGCAGACCACCTCTCTCCCATCCACTGCTGTCATCGTTGTCTAAACCTCGAGGACTCATCTCACTGGATGACACACCAGCCTTTTAATCGCCAGTTCCTAACCAGAAGAGACATGTTTTCTTATGTTGTCCAGGCTGCCCTTGAACTCCTGGGCTCAAATGCTCCTCCTGCCCAGTTTCCCAAGTAGCTCAGCCAAGACCAATTTTCTTGAAACGGAAGTCAGATTATGGATTCTTCTTCCCAACGCCACTCCGCCTCTCGCATCTTCTGAGCCCTCCTTAAAACATGCCAGTGGTTCTCCTGCCATGGGTCTTTGATGTGCCCTTTCCATGAATGCTTGTCCACAAACTCGTTTGGGTTATTCCCTTGACTGTCAAAAACATTGCTAAGCCCGGTGTGGTGGCACACGCCTGTGATTTCAGCTACTTGGGAGGCTCAGGCAGTGCAATCACAAGATCAGTGGCAGTGTGGGTGACTTAGTGAGGCTGTCTCAAAACAAAAAATAAAAAAGCCTGAGCATACAGGTTAGCAGTGGAGAGCTTGCCTTGTGTGTCAAAGCCCTGGGTTCAATTCCCAGCACACGCACCTAATGAATGTGCTCACACTCAATGCTACTGCTCTTCTCGGTCCTGCTCTTCCTGACTTGCACTTTCCCTTCGAAGCCACCTTCCCCTGCTGTTCCACACGCTCCACGACTGACTGTGTTTTGTGCCTCATCTGTCCCCCACTACAATGTGTGGCTCTTATTGATGCTCAGGACAGGCCTGACTAAATGCTTGCTGAATGATGGATGAGTCAATGAAGAGATGACCATGAAAGCCCATCGGCAGCCTCAAACGTGTCATCCACCCAAGTGAGTATTGTTTGTTTCTGGATCTTGCTGGACAAACAACCCCTTCCAGCCAGGCCTGTGCCACCCACAGGCTCAGGACCTGCAAAGGCGTGTGGGTGGGGAGCCAAGGTGGGGAGCAAGGTCTCCCTGCTGCCAGAACCTTCCTACACCTGCCTGAGGCCACACACGGCACTGCAGGTGGCTTGGGTTATTTGAGCACCTATTTCAGACCTTTTTATTATTTCGGGAGCATTGAGGTAGTAGCCAGGATTCTGGAAACATTTCCTGGCTTCTCCCTGAGACTGGCATGATATGATTCTTTCTTCAAAGATTTGCACCCGTGAGAAGAGTAACAATGAAAGAGGTAGGGAAGAAAAATGTGAAAGAGAAGTCCTTCTAAGGACCATGCGCTGGAGTGTCTGTGCTGCGGCCTGGAGCCCTGGGCTGCAGAAAGAGAGCGTGCAGTGCTTTCTTTGCCCTGGTGTCTTCTGAAGTGATCTCAGAGAGAGCAGAGGTGCTGAGTCACAATGTCCGGGGAGCTCAGGCCGGCAACATCACCTGTAGCAGGCATAACCACGTGACCTGGGACCATAGGCAAAAATACGACTTTCTTCACACCAGTGGCACAGTCTTCATTCTCCAGCTACAAGATTTTAAGTTCATTGTGCCTCGATGACCTGCAACCACAGTCAGATTGTTTACGTTTATCAGTTTAAAAACTGAGGAGCAGAACTTGGAGATTTAGCTCAGCGGCACAAGCGTCTGCCTGGCAAGCTCGAGATCATGAGTTCAATCCCTGGTACCAAAATAAATACATAAGTATAAAAACTGAGGATCTGCTATGCATTGTAACATGATTTTTTAAAAACTTAAAACAAAACTCTTTTTTTGAGACCAGGTCTCGCTATGTAGCCCAGGTTGGTTTTGAACTCATAGTGATCCACTGCTTCAGCCTCAGGGTGGCAGGATTACAGTTGTGTGTCACCATGACTGGCTGTCTAACCTGATTTTAAACTTCAGGAAGGACGAGAGACACTCAGTATTTCAGGAGCCTCGCCCCTCATACAGGCCACAGGTGTGTGATTATATTTCTAGCATTGTGCCAAGATCCAGCTAAATTTCAGGGAAATTCTTCCCTCATTTTTCACTGGATGTCTAGCTAGTAAAACAGAAAATTTTAACATCAAAACACGTATCACGGCCAGGTATGGTGAGGCATACCTGTAATCCCAGCACAAGGGAGGCTGAGGCAAGAGGATTGCCACAAGTGTGAGCCTGAGCCACACAGTGAGTTCAAGGCCAGCCTGAATTGCATAGAGAGATTTTCTCAAAAATAAATAAATATAAAAAGCAAAAGTGTATTCCCCATTCATGAATTTGTCACAAGCATCTTCATGCCCCGATGACCAGATAAATCTGAACTAAAATGAAGAAGGTGTCAGCAAAGGATGAAATTATTTTTTCCGCGTCTTTTAAAGCTGATTTGTGGAAAGGATGCACGAGGCAGAACTAAGTTCTGGTTTTCAATTCGTCCTCTGGCTAAAAGATAGAGGTAAAAAGGCTTTCATACAGCCTCAGCACTGTCTGCTCCCAAGATGTCCCCGAAGAAGGCCTGGACGGACAGAGTCATTTATTTGGGATTACCTTTGGCAGCCGTCAGTCCCTCCTTTGTAGGGGGTGTATAGAAGTCCATTCTTGCCGTAGCAGAGGAACCCTTCCCTCCCCGCAGGCATGGTCAGGTCATTTTCTGATCAATCTCAAGGAAGTTCTTAAAAAGGATAAAGAAGTTTATTGCTGCTCTAACAAAACCTCATACAAGACTGAGTATCCCTACTCTAAAATCTTAAAATCTCCAAAATTCACAACTCTTTGAGAGCCGGCACGATGCTCAGTTTTGATTATGAGTGTTTTGGATTTTTGGATTGGAGCTGTTCAACTGGCAAACTCTTGTAAATATCTCAACTCTGAACACCAGTGTAAAACCTGAACCCTTAGGCATTTCAATTTAGGATAATGTACTCAGAGGGAGGAAAGATGGTAACTGCCAGCCGCACCTAACTTTCCAAGTGGAGAGTGTTGCCTAGAACCCCGACCTTGACAAGGAAAGCCCCCATGCAGCTGTGGGGTGGGAGGCATGGATGGCTGCCCCCAGGGTCTTCCTTCCCCAGCCAGGCAGGGGCAGGATGGGCAAAAAGCATCAAGACATCCTTGCAACAGGGTTCTGGAGGAGACACTGCTGCCCAGGCCTGTGGATAGTTGGGGTCCCTCCCAGGGGCTCTTCCCTCCTTGGATAGCTAAGCTCTAGACCCCTGATATTATCAGCAAAGTAGCAAGAGGAAACTGCTTCCCCATTTGACTCTTCTCTCTAGTGCAAGCAAACCCTGCTAACCTTTTGGGACCAAAGAGGGCAAAAATGTCCTTAGGTACACTCATTTTCCACCCTATTTTCTTTGGCAGAGACCTAGGTGGCAGGTCCTTCTTTCCTATGGTGGAACTTCCTATAACCATGGATAATTCACCAACAGGCAGAGGTCATCTGGAGATGTTTTCAAATGTGACTGAGACTCCGCGGAGACTGCCATCCAAGCATCCAACCCATTCTTGTACATAATCAGTTGTTTTATTTGAAAATGTCTACATTGCATTTAGCACCAACATGGGTGTGGCCCAGAAACCCACAACCCTGCTCCAGCAGGCTCTGAGTCCAGTGTATGATTTGGGCTGGGCCTCTTAACTTTTCACAGTGAGAGCTGTAAAGAGGGATGGGAAAGCAATGGACCACGATTCCTGACTCCCGGGCAGGTTATCTGCTTGAAGAAAGGAAAGCTGTTAAAACTCACATGGCCCCTTTTAACTCACTTCTCTCACTCAGCTGATTCAAGTGTGGAGCCTGGCGGGCCAGTGGGATTGGAAGAACCCAGGGATACACTGTTTAAAATAACATCCCCAAAGTACTGAAAAAAAAAACAAAAAACAAAACAAAACAAAAAACACATTGGGGCGGGGGAAGTGGGGTGGATGGGCTGTGCTTCCAACGGATCGTTTACTTTTTCCTGTTTTATGAACTTTTGAGTTTGGAGGATATCAGGATTGCACAACCACAATCATGACAGAGCATCTGGTCCACATAAAAAAAGGTTTTGTGTAGGAAAAAAAAAAGCCAGTGTGTCTACGGGAAGAGAAGCACCACGCTACATTGTGCTGGGACCAACCAGATCCCTTGTGCCCCTTTATTTTGATTTTTTCAATGTGATCCCAGTGAAATATTCAGGATGTCATAAACACCAAGAATGTCTTTTATTTTTAAATCATATCTTTAAATCCAGCTGTTTAAAAAAAAACAAACTTGTGCAAGATTATTTTTGTCCTGCTTATCGTTCCTTGGAGGCAGTTTCCCCACCGAAGGCTCACATAGACGGGGCTTCTTTCTGCCTGGGGATCCAGCATGGTTCGTGGTTTCTAGAACAGTTGACTGTCTAGTACCGTGGGGTATCCAGCAATTTCCTGGGTATGTGGGACTGTGATCGCCACATGCCAGGACAAAGAGTCAACATTTGTGTCCCAGGGGAGCAAAAACACTGCCCCTTTGCTTTCACTAATAGTTGAAGGAAGCAGAGAGGGCAGGTAGGAACACTTTTTTTTTTGTCTTTTTGAGATAGGGTCTTGCTATGCAGTTCAGGCTGGCCTCAAACTCACAGGATCATCCTGCCTCAGCCTCTTGAGTCCCGGGATTACAGGTGTACGCCACCATACCCAGCAAACACATCTTTTGAGTCATGCAGTTATCACTGGCCTAGACGTTGCTTGGTAACCTTTTTGCCAGAAACAAAATATCTTCCTCAAAGTACAGACTTCCTGTTTGTGAACTAAAATGTATTAAACCTATCTGGATTCCCCCTAAAAGCAGCTGCTTATCGTAATTATCCAAGCTTGTTCATACCCAATCAGGTTGTAAAAAGCAGACCAAACTAGAGTGGGATGTGTACATTTCAAAAGATCGGGAATTACAAAGTCTGGCAGAGCTCAGGACCACAGTCTCCACGGATATAAACATTTCCAGATTCCACTGCATTTGAACAAAAACAGAACGAAGACATGAGTAAGACATGAGCAGTCACTAACATCGATTGAATGCTATTGTCTTGGGGACAAATCAGTTTATACTTCCGTCTCCTTTTCCATGTGCTTTGTGTTTAAAAGATAGTCTCTCAAATGTACAGTTAAAAATGTCTTGAAAAGGCAGATGCTTGGAGGAGTCGAGTCGTGTGAATTATCTTTCCTTCGGCTGCTTTTGGCAGGAGGGAGAATCCCCATGGATTCTGAGGGGCTTGTGTGAGTGGTCCACGGGTCATCTTCTCCCACGAGCTGGGGGACAGGGAGCAGGGGAAGCCACACACTCTTCTGCCAAACACGTTGGCAGAGGACTCGATCCTCCAACCCCTAGGACCTGTGAAAACAGAAAGGGAACCACTGCTTTTTTCACTGGCATTGTGAAAAGTAGCCGTGTGAGTCACTGTCTCCACCGTCCTCCTCTCTAAGTCTTCCGATTCCAGAGCTTTGTGCCTTTCTCTCCCATCCCCCAGCCCGTGCCGCCTCCCTCCCTCCCGAGGATGCACATGGCCAGAGTTAGACTCCTGGGCTTTTCCAAACATCACCTGTCTGCCGCATGTCTCAAACACATCCCTCACCTCCTGGCTGTGTGTCACCTGTCCTTTCCCTTCCTCTCCATCCTAAGAAAATGTTTTCCTCTGAGTGTGAATTTCCTAGTCTGGATCCCTCAGGAAGTTTCCTAAGGAGAACGTATTCCTTTATTCCTTTTCCGCATCCATCCGTGAGGTGGGAGCTCACAAATGATGGTCAGGCAGGTGGAGCATGCAGGACAGGGGCAGAAGCGGGGAGCTGCTGAGGATTCCTCCATCGCCACGGAATCCGTCCCCCTTCAGAATACAGGGCTGGCTCTGGACAGGAGATTTTCCAAAGCCACTCACTTCAGGTGGCTGGAAGTAGGAGAATTAGGCATCAAGTTAAAATTCTTTTGGGTTTTCTTTCACGTTTGATTAGTTGGAGAATCAAGAAGAGATCAGATTTAGTCAGATCTCGATAGAAGTCCATTTAAGAGCTACATTTGGCATTTATTTCTGGGGGCGACAAGCTGTTGATTATGAACTTTATTGAAAGCGTCCACCAGTTTTAAGTGTTGAGTTCAATTGTTCTACAATGGAGTACTACTCAGCCATAAAGAAGGATAAATGTGAGACATTTATAGCTAAATAGATGGACCTTGAGACCACTTAAGTGAATTAAATTGGATACATGTTGTGCAAATATTGAATTGTCCCTCCTGGTGTAAGAAACTGAAAGTGTGAATAAGAACCAAAATGTATAACAGAAATTGTGAAACAGGAAGAAATTGTTCAAAAGGAAAAGGGAACTAGGGAAGGGGAGAAGTAGAGAAGGAAGGAAAAAGAAAACAGTCAGAAAAGAAGGATAAAATGGAAACAAAGCCTTGTAAATAAGGAAGGGAAGAGGGGTAGGAGGGAGGGGAAGAGAAAGGGAAAAAAGAATGAAAATACCTCATATACAGGTACGACTCACCTATGATGAATGTGATCGTTACGGGATATCTAACTTATACTAATAAAGTTACTCTTAAAAAACTCACAGTTTTGAGTTTGGGGTGTGACTGCCTTCACTCATGCAGCATATAGGTCTTTTTTTCTTTTCTCTTGTATATTGGCGATTGAACCTAGGACCTTTGCACTGAGTTCCATTCTTTGTCTTTATTCTATCTTTTAATTTTGTGACAAGGTCTTGCTAAACTGCCCAGACTGGGCTTACATTTGCCATCTTCCTGCCTCAGCCTTCCAGAGTCCCAGGATTATACATGTGTGCCGCCATACGTGGTTATGTAGGTGAATTTACTTACAAGAATCATTTGGATATTTTCCGTACAAATAGAAACAGGATGCAACCGAGAAAGGCGAAGGCAAATAAGATCCCAAAGACAATTCCAGCCAGGGTCCCCGCTGACAAACTATCTGAATGGGGAGGAATAAAAGCATCGAGACTTGGTTAGGAAACACATAGCAGATGTCACCAAAACAATGGCACTGCCTACTCACATAGCAAACATGTCACATCCATTGGAATTTAGCTCACAAGTGGAGAAGCGCTGGCTAGTATTTTATTTTATTTTAAATTTATTTTATCTTTGTAGTGTTGAGATGTGAGGACGGGGTCTTGTGCATGCGAGGCTACTGCTGAGCTACACCCCCAGCTCTGCTTCTGTTCAAATACAGGGAGTTCCCTTTCCAGAAGGCAGGAGAAAACGGAGGCCGAGAGGGACAGAGACAGAGACACATTGAGATTGGGAGAAACCTAGAAAAAGCATGCAACTCATCTCAAGCTTAGGTTCAAAGAAGACTTTCTTTTCAGCTCTCATAGGAATACATTAATACCAAAACCTTGCCTACCTTTGCCAACGGCTATCTGTGTTGACTGAGTTATATTCCCTGTGAAAAGATGACAGAATTATTAGGATTTCACAAATTTGCTAATTATTATCATTTAATAAATTTAATAATTTCACAATAGGCCAAGGGTGAATTACTGTAGGCATATGCCCAGAGGACAATCTCTTAAATAAATTGGGTGGGAGTTGGTTAACCAAGCTCCCACAGGGTATAGTCGTTGTAACTATTATTAAATTTACAAACACATCCATGGGTTCATAGGATTTCTGTACACTAAGCCAGAGAGATGTGAAATACTTGGTCAGATTATGGTAGCAAAAGAAGCCAGAACTGTGTAATCTTAGTCCAAGACCAAGACCATGAAAAGTTTACGAATGGAGATGAGATCTGTTTCCCACTTTGAAAGCAATGCTCTGGGTTGGAGAGAGGTAGCAGAGCTGTGATTCACGTCATGCTATGCATTCCCTGCTTTGTTGGTACCCAAATCCAGACTTCAGGGCAGCAGTATGCTCGGCTAAGCCTGAGAAGAGACCACCCCTAGGTGTTTCTGCCATACGCACTGGAGGATTTTTGTCTGCAGTCAGTAGTCGTAGTGTGACTGTTCTCTGCCCTGAGTTTCTTTTAGGTAATTCTACACCATTCCTAATTTGAAATAGAAGACATTTTCATTTCTCCAGTTAATCTCTTTCTAAGCTGAGTCCTTAACTCCATTCAATAGTGGCTGTTTAGTGAGCTGACAGATGGAGAAACCAAGATACCTTGATTTAATGAGAAACTGGAGAGAATCTGAGTTCACAGCTTGCAAAATATCCTTAGATATTCAACACCTTTCCTAATTAAAACTAAAACTGGCCGTGATATTCTGATTTTTTTCCTTTGGTTTTCTGTCACAGTTTCTGGCCCATAACTCCCTCTCAAAGGCAACTGAAACTAGAATTTCTTCTCTCCAAGGTGGTTCACAGAAACTTAAATCTTTGCCTGCCTTTCTTTCGTCATAAAGAAATTCTCTGCCCTTCTCTCTCCCTGTTCCAGGCATATGACCCTTCTCACTCCTGAGGGGCCCTGCCCCAGGCCTGGAGGAAGGGTTGCTGCACGGAAGAGTCAAGAAGGATCTGAGCAGACAGACCCTGTTGGCTTCTCTCAGCCTGTATATTCACATTAAATTACGTCATTTTGCTCTGGCACATTTTGATATGGTTGTACATGTTTTAATCTGGCCTGTGCAAGGAAGTCCCCATAAAAACCCAAAGGAACTGGGTTCAGGGACCTTCCCATGGCAAGATACAGGAAGGTTCCTGGACGAGCATGGAAACTACACCTCTTCCTCCATTCCTTGTCCTATCCGTTTCTTCATTGGTATCATTAGAATAGTCTTTATAATAAATGGGTAAATGTGTTGCTCTTTGAACTACTCTGCAAATTAAGTGACCCCAAAGAGGTGGTGTGACAACCCTGATTTGTTGCTTGTTGGTCAGAAGTAGGAACAGAATCATCTGGGGTTCAAAGTTGGCATCTGAAGGTTTGGGCACTGAGCCTTCGATTATGGGATCTGACACTGGCCCTGGATAGAGCAGGAATCCAGTTGGATGAGGGGATACCCAGCTGGTGTCTTGCTTGGTGCTGGAGTGGGAGGACCCCTCATATATCTCCCATCAGAAGTGACTTGTGCTATGAATAGGAAAAACAATCTGAGATTGAGTTTGGGGTTGGTTTTTCCCAATGCACTAGACAACCATCTACAAAATATTCCTCTGTACCAAGACTCTTCCTAAGAAAGGTGCCTTTCCAAATGGCCCCAGGGTGGAGGCCCAGACTCCAGCTCTCCCTGCACTGACGAAATCCATGGCTGTGGAGCACTTATATGGAGCACAACTGGACGGCAGAACGGTGGAGAGGCTGCTGGGTTTGGACCTTCTCAGAGCAGCAGCATCATCAAATCAACACTTAACATGTCATTCCTGGAAGCCAATGACCAGCAGAGCTTAGGTCAGTCATTTGCCTATCATGTCTTGAACTGATGGCTGCTAATTACGAGCTCAAAATATACCACAGACATTATCAAGGACACCATCAGTTACAAAACACATTACTGAAAATTGAGTAAATTTGTAGACATCTGTCAGTGACTGAAGCTTATTAATCCTGCACTGCACGCTCCCTCCTGATTATACTGTGATTATGAGCATGCGTCATACATGTGATGATCATGTATGTGATCATCACACTCGAGCGTTTCATGGAAAGCGTGGAATCTACTGCCCTAAAAAGTTACTCCTGTAAAATAAAGTGTAATGACTTTTTATTTTTAAGCATTAGACATTGAACCCAGGGCCTTACACATGCTAGGCAAGCACTCTAACACTGAGTAACTTTCCTACTCCTCTTTATTGTTTATTTTGAGATGAGGTCTTGCTAAGTGGCCCAGGCTAGCCTTGAATTTAGAATCCTCTTCCCTCAACCTCCAGGGTGACCAAGCTGAGGCCCAGCTGTAATGACATTTTAACTCACACGTGAAAAGTCTTGGCAGAGTGAAATGTGAAGTGGGAATGTGTCCTAAATCATGCTTTTCTGTAACATGTGGGTTCAGAAACAAGAACAGAGAGTAATGAGAACTGAGAAATATTTTGAGGGAATAAAATGAGGATGTTTGGTACCATAGAAAAAGTACTTAACATGGAAGAATTTATTTTCTGTTGCTAATTAGCTGTCAACTCATGTTACAAGTGAGTCTTTCTCTAAAATTCTGAAATGCATTTACAATGATCACATTTATTGATCATTCTCTTCTTGATATTAGCAAGTTCTCTTGTTCTTTTGCTCAGTGCAGGTGCTAACTCTAGATCACAAATCAGCCCCAGATCCTGGTTAAGCAACCTTGTCCCAGGCACTTAATGTAAGATGGTAAATATCAGTGTGGAGTACATTAAGACTTCCGTATGTCAGCTGAGTTTCACGCAGTTGGGTATCAACACAAAGTTCTTAATGTAGGGCCAGCAACAAAGCATCAGCAGCTACTACCCTTGTAGGTAAGTGTAACATTATCGCTAGGTGTCAAGCAAGTGGAGAGAGTATTTCCAGCTGCCCCCCAAAACTGGGGGGCATATTTAATTTCACAACTCAAAAATCAAACTTTGAACCCATCATATGGTTCAGAATTCACTCTTGCATTCCATTGCATTCTCTATTGATTAACATATTTGCTCATGGACTTGGGGAATACACAGATTTTGCAAAATTGAGCAACCCTTATTGGGGCGACTGGGCTTTTTACCTGATGTGGTACTGGTCACCATAGGTGAAGCTGTGGTCGCCTGGCTTTTCTGGTGACGATGGGTTGAGCTTCCCGGGGTTAACACATCCTCAAAACCAGTATGTGTTGTATGTTCTGTACTTGGTGGCACCTATTAGAGATGTAAATGAGGCAAAAGAGAAACAAAGTCCAGGGTTTTAAAGTTTGCACTCTGACTTAAAAATAGATACAAAGTAGCATAAAGAAATGCCATCGTGGCATCAATTCAAAGTAGAAGCAAGAAACGCAACAAAAAGACACAACTAGGGTGGGGAGGGGATGAACTGAGGTCAACCCTAGAGAGGAATTTCACGCTCTTGGCTTGCTGACTTCCTGGCACTTCTGGGAACACTAGTGGGCTTCCAGTCTTCCTCTCCCTTGAACATGAAAGCATCTTTCCCCTCTAACATTTCTCCGGCAGATAACTGGATCCAGCTTTATGAGCCTCCCTTGGGGAGCATGCAGCTGGCCTTCCTGAGTGCTCACCTGACGACAGCCTCCAGAAGTCGATCCAATTGTTCATCCCACCGTAGGAAAGAGGCTTAGAGAGATCTGATAGTTTGCCCCAACTCAGAGCCATCTGTTTCAGAGTGGGACTTGGGGGTGGTTTTGGTTTTTTAATGCTTACTGTTTGAGGACAGAGGACATTACCAAGATGCAGGTGAAATGAGGCACAGGGTAAGGTCGTTTGGAAAAGGTGCAGAGCTTCTGTACCCTCTCTGAGCGCATAAACCTCCAGGACCTTCCATGAGTTCAGCTACCCAGAAGCTTTCTGAACCCGGTCCTTCCGGGTTTTCACTCGTGCATGGCTGATTACATCACTGGCTAAAGTTGATGAACATGAATTTAACTGTTAGTGCCTTGACCACCTCTCCTCTTCCTGGATGTTGGGTGTGTGGGAGCGGAAGTCAGGACCTTCTAATCCAGCTGTGTTCTTCAGAACTCATTCTAAAGGCTTCTAGCTGTCAATTACTCACCAGCATACTAAAAGACACAAAGCACTTTGAGGATTCTAAACAATTGGTTCTGTTAACTCTAAAGTTCATGCCAAGGTAAGATTTAATAAGCCAGTGAGCACATGGGACAAAAGCAAACAATCAATGGGACAAATTAAACTTAAAGGCTTGTATGTATCAAAGGACACAATCCGTAGAACAGAAAGGCAACCTACAGGACGGGGGAGACACTTGGGATGAGGTACCTGCAATTGAGCAACAAAAAACTCAAATAACTCAATGATGAACTGGGCAAAGGACTTCAAATGACAGTCCCCTAAAGATAACGCATAGTGGAGTACATGCTTATAATCTTAGCAACTGGGAGGCTGAGGCAGGAGGATCACCACGTGTTCCAGGTCATCCTGGGCTACAAAAGAGTTCAAGGCCAGCCTGAACTGCCTACTAAAACTGTGATAACTCGGACACCGGTATAAAATCCAAGAAAGCAAGAAATTAAAATTTGGGAAGCAAAGGCTTTATTAGGTAAAATCCAGGCCTGGTGACGAGTGTCTGGGAGCCAATTTGGAGACTGTGCACCTCACAGCTAAAAGTCAGGACTTTTTATCTTGTAAATCCACAAACAGCTGCTGGTCACACAATGTAAGGAGGGGGATGGGGGTGTGACACACTACAAAGCAGAAACGGCAATTGCAAGTCTCCCTGCATACTAGCAAGTTTAGATAAGAAGAAATCTTGTTTTTCTTAGCAAAGAATAGAGAGGTCTAACAGCAATTAACTACCTTAGTTACCTTACTTTAGCACCACAACTGTTCTATTTGTAGAGGGCAACAATGGTTAACATATCAATTAGGTAAGATTTTACAATTCCTTACAGAGGAGAGCATTGATTAACATATCAATCCTTTGCCCAGAGGGAAAGGAAAACACACATTTACAGTAAGGCCAAGTTGCAGATATTACTGTGATACAAAGGAAGCTATTTTTGTGAAGAATGTACAATCAAATGCAATTAACACAATTTGTGACGGGCTACCGGGTAGGGAAGAGGAACTATTACCTCAGGCCTTTGTTTTATGGCCTTTAGGAAGTTAAAACTTAACCTAGTTAAATTTGAAGGGAGAAGGGGAGGGGAAGCAGCAGGTGGGCTTATACCTTAGAACAGACCTTAGGATAGTTAGGGGGGCTTAGGTTATAACAAAACCCTGTCTCAAAAAACAAAACAAAACAAAACAAAAAAAGATGACACACAAATGGCCAAGAAGCATGTGACAGGACACTCTGCATCACTAACCAGAGAAACGCAAATCAAAACCACAAGCTACTGCCTCACTTCTAGTACAATGGCCACTATTTAAAAAGCCCAAGGAAATAGCAATTGCTGGAGAGGGAAACGGAAACCCTCGTGCCCTGCTCATGGGACAGTAAAGTGGCGTAGCTGCTATGGACAGAAGGATAGTTCTTCAAAATCATAAACATAAAATTACTTTATGTTGGGGCAATCCGACTTCTAGATGTAAACCCCAAGGAATTCAAAGCAGAGTATAAGACAGATACTTGCATACACAAGTTAGGAGCCTGCTTCCTTGCAGCTGTATTCATGAACAATTGCCATGAGGTGGAAAAAGAAACCCAAGTGGGCTTGGATGGCTGCACGGATAATTAAAAATGGTGCATACACCCAGTGGAACAGGATCCAGCCTAAGGAAGACAGGACACGGGCAACAGCACTGCACCTTGAGGCCATGATGCTGCACAAGCCATTCACAAAAGAATGAATTCTGTAGGATTCCGCTGACAAGGTAAAACAGAATGGAGTCCCCAGGGCCAATAGGAAGAGACCAATGAGGAGCTGTTATTTAATATGTGCAAAATTTCAGTTTTACAGGACAAAAATTCCAAAGATCTGTTTAACAATGTGAATATATGTAACACAACTGAAATGCACACTTCAAAATTGTTAAGATGGTAAATTTTACTTCAGTGGTTTTTGCCAAAATAATACAATTTTAAAAAATATGTCACCGAGCATTTTCTAGGGGCCCTTGTGGTTGTCCCAAGCTCGTGGAACATGAGTAACTTCTAGAAGCTGATGGGGGAGCTGGGCAGGAAGGCAGAAAAACATAGCATGTTAGCTGGGCGTGGAGGCTCACGCCGTAATCCCAGCATTCGGGAGGCTGAGGCAGGAGGATTGTTGTGAGTTTGAGACCAGCCTGGGCTACAAAGTGAGCTCAAGGCCAGCCTGAACTGCAGACCCTGTCTCAAAAAGACAAAAAACAAACAAACAAACAAAACCAAAACGCAGCATGTTAAACACACACAGAGATAACATTTTGTTTTGTTTCACAGTGATGGGATTGAACTCAAGTACTAGGGATTGAACCAAAGGGTGCTCAACCACTGAGCTATATCCACAGCCTTTTCTATTTTTCATTTTGAGATACAGGGTCACCAAGTTGCCCACGATAGCTTGAACTTGCAATCCTCTTGCCTCAGCCTTCCGAGTTTCTAGAAATACAGCTATGTGCCACTGGACCCAGCTCAGAAGGTAAATTTTAATGGCTTTCAATGCTGCGAAGAAAATATCAACTACACTGGACAAACTTTTTCAGGAAAGGCAAAAAAGGTAAGTATCTTCAGCTCTGCACGCTGTAGCTAATTTAATTCTGCTCTTACAGTACAAATGTTGCTACACAGTTTTCAACCAAATCTCCATTGCTGAGTTCCAGGAAAAGTTTATAAAAATAGTTGGTGGGCTGAGTCTTTGGGGTAGGTTGTCAACCCCAGGGCTGAAGGGGGCAGGATTATTTCAGTGAAATCTCTATGAGATAATATTGAATTTGATGACCATGAAAGTCAGCCAAGGGAGGATGGGGAGTGTTCTGGGCAGAGAAAAAGAAAACCTAAGTTGCATCAAGCGTGGTGTGTTAAGGATAGAAAGGCCCATAGAGCGAAGACAGATGAGCAATGGGGGAGGGGTGCATAGGGCAAGCAGGAACATGTGTTCATTACCCAAGAATTATGAACCCCCAAAGGACCCCCAAGGGTGTGGCTCACTTACCTCCTTCCTCCCTCCCAGCACCTGGGCATTCATTTTGCACCTATTAAATAACAGATCATAGGCTACAGCAGCTGCTTAAGCCATATATCAGTAACAACTCAGTGGGTAGGAAATGTGTTTATTTAGATTCCATGGTTTTTATAAGTGTGGTTCATGTTTGATGTCACTCTGATCAGAATACATATTTAGGAACTTAGAGCAATCACATCGTCACAATATGAAGACTTTTTTTATTGTATTAAAATTCGTGCTGCAGGTTAGAACTTAAAAACCTGGCTCCTTACTAGTTTGTGAAGTCCTGGTCTTTGAGCCCAGCATCACCTAAAATCCGCACAGTAGCTGCCTGTTCGCCAGAGAAAATCAGGAAACTGCTTTTGTTGTGAGCCACACAATGGGTCCTCTGCACGGTGGCTCACACTGGTTTTATAATATGATGCTATTATACCTCCCATGCTTACACGTGATCGCAGATCTTTGGAGCAAATCCTTCTCCTGCTGAATACTCACCCAAGCTGTCACATGAGGAGATGGCTGTGGCACTGCAGAGCCACTCACGGTTGTCAAGTGGTCTTCTTTGCCTGGGTTCACCTTGCCAATGTCTACACCTGGCGTCACAATATCTTCCAGCCCAGGAACACTGGCTGAAGAAAAAAGAGGGACCACTAATTGGGGGGATTTTACTTAATATTTTCTGCCTTACTGCAGTGTCAACAACCAAACAGCTGTCCTTGTGACATCTGGCACACGTGAGCACCTGGTTGTCTCCACTGCACAGCACAGGAAAACGGAAACACAAACAGTGAAGCAGCCAGCCCTGCCCTCCCAGGACCCCAGGCAAGGCCCGACAGGAGTGTCCACTCCAAGAGACAATTTGATTTTTCCTGGAGCCATTTCATAGGATGAACTAATGCATTTGGGGTGACAGAACCCCATTTAGGGCTCAACAAGTTCTTGGAAATTTCTTGGCTACAAGAAATCTAGCCTATTGCTAGGCTGCATGCAAACCTACTGAATCACAAGGTCTGAAAGCAAAGTTTCTATTATTTTAAAACCAAGGCTCTGGGTTCACTTAGAAAAATAAATAAGTAAAGCTATTTCTCCACTTAATGTTGAGACTGCTGCCTTGTAGACATGTGGAACCAGTGGCTCTGACCACAGACCTCATAGATGCAGTTCGACTTCGTATGTCACAGTTGGGATTACTGTTACTAGGCGGTCAGTGTAAAGGTACCCACAGAATTCTCTTTCTGAGAACTAAATGAGACATCACTATCCCTTGCTCTGGCTTTTCTGCATTAACACTTTGGTGAATGACAGGGTGATGCCAATGACACAGGTTTCTGGTGGGACAAGGGGACTGGTGGCCAAGGTTGACAGCAGGTTGGATTCTATCATGGGAGGATGGTATTGTTTTGGATATGTTCTCCCAGGTATCAACCTCCAAATTCCTGTGTGGAAGGTAACTGAAGGTGGGCCCTTTGGGAAGTGATTAGATGAGGTCACTGGGGTGAGGCCCCATGAAGGGACTGACTAGTGGCTTAGTAAGAATGAAGGGAGATTTGAATGGAGACACCTGCTCAGTTTTGCCATGTGATGTCCTCTGCCATAGTAGGACACAGCAAGGAGGCCTTTGGTAGATGCCGGTGCCATGTCCTTGGGCTTTCTGGCCTCCAGAACCATAAGGGTAATAGATATCAATGCTATAAATTTCCCAGTCTCGAGTACCTGGTTACAGGATCAGAAAATTGACTAAGACAAAGAGAGAGCAGAACCACTGTCCTCTCCCACCTATTTTGCAAAGATCCCAACTCTTGTGACAGTGCCCAACCATCACCTCTGCCTTTACCAGATAATCCTTGGCATGAGTTAGCATTCTGACTCACTGGCCATGGGCCTCCTTTGCAGACTCAAGTGGCTCTGGAAATTCCATGACAACACACAATTGCAAAATAAACAGCATCTGCATCCCAGGAGCAGGAAGGAGGGGTGCTTGGTGACATCTTTGTGTAATTAAAGAGCAGATGTGCGTCTAAATCTACGCAGTGTTCAATTAGCAATCCAGTCCTTTCCTAAGATGCTGTATTTTCCCTCTGCTTAGACAGCTCAGCCAGAGGCACTGCTAATAAATATTTTGACCGTAACTTCTCTGCTGACGCCTGGAGGGATGACGCCTCCAGAGGAAGCCTGCTTATTTCATGAGCCCTCTCTCAGCATCTAGAATCATTATCCAGTAGCTGGATCAATAGCTTTGAATAAGTATACACATTCCTCTTTTTTTAATCTTGGGAAGGCTTGAAATGAGAATCACTCAGTGCATGCAAATGGCTTGCCCTACTGGTCATTTGTTGTGGTGGGGGAAGGGCAGAGACTGGTCCCACAAGGATTTATGACCCTGTAGAATAGGCATATGTTTAGCATGTTTATTGAGCTCAAGGGAAAATATGCTTCTGCCAGGCAAGTAATTTGTACAAAAAAAACCCCTTAACATCCTATTTTCTTTTCTTCCTCCCTGATTTCAACTAAGTTAACAAGTCACCAATCTAAAAAAAAAAAAAAAATTGTTTTCTGGAGCCATTCAGCAAAATCACTTCCTAGGGGGCATCTCTCAGTTAAAACAATTCAAAAAAAGTTCTGAATGAAGTGATGAAGTGGGTTTGAATTCTTTCATGGAAAGCTCAGTTCATTGAAAGTGTAATTTGATAAAAATTCCTTCTTGTGCTTTTCTGCCCTTGGCCACAGAGCCAAGCACTAAAATGGCTCTGAATAGACAAAGGGTGTTTTATGAATGACAGTCAGGATTAAGATGCATGTCTTTTGTCCCACTGCTCTGCCTTTCTTTCGCTCCCTGGGAAAGTTGATCTTTACTAAGAGATCCTCCATTGTCCTCTTACTATTTGGCCAAGACTTTCCTGAAGAGTTCCTCCCAGGCCAGCTGCCTTCTTTCCAGCCAGCATTTGACGATTTTTTCCCCCTTAACTCACGAGACGCAAAGCATGTTTGATGTCTTCAAACTCACATGTCCTCCTCAGATGCACACACAAGCACACACGAATGCACAGAGGCATGCTGTGCACACACTTGCACAGATTGCTCATCCGAGTGCACACATGCACATACATGCACATCCAAGTGCAGAGGGAAGACCCACAGTGCTGGGAGCTCTGCAGCCCTGAACTCTATGGCTCACCCAGCCTCAGCCTGGGCTCCTTCAGCATGGGGGTTAGAATGGATGGAAGTTTCCAAATTTGGCAGAAACCTATTTTCCTTTACTTGGAAACATTCTGTGATTATTCCATTAAAAAGCTAGGCTAAAAATATAAACTATGTGGAGGATAATTTGACAAATGAATTTTACCTTAAGGGCCTTAATTTGGAAAGTAAAGAACTTCAGCAATATTTATTCATATGAAAGTGTTAAGTATAAGGCCAGGGATTTAGCTCAGCAGGCACAAGTGCCTGCCAGGCAAGCATGAGGTCATGAGTTCGATCCTTAGTACCACCCCACAAAAAAAGAAAGAAAGAAAGTGCTAATTAGGAATGATTTTTATCTTTGCATGAAAGTTTAATATCACTAAAGAAATTATTCAAGTTTATATGCACTTATTGGATGATGTTTCTCATAATATTTGAAAATATAAGATCCAACAGAATTTATCGTAGTTATATCAGTCTCAAGTTCTTAATAAAAATTTAGGGAAGGTGAGTTTAACTCTTGGTATTTTGGTATTTTATTTTGTCTTTTTGAGACTGTCTCTATGCAGTTTGAGCTGGCCTTGAACTCACTATGTCACCCAGGCTGGCATGAGCTCACAGCAACCCTCTCTGCCTCAGTCTTTTGCAAGCTGGCATTACAGGCATGCACCACCACACCCAGCTAATCCTTTGGTTTTATTTGGATTGCCTAGACTTGTGGTGGAGAGAGGTTCCACCTGGCACTTAGGAATCCTGCCTTTGCGTTTTCTCTTGTGGTTCCATCTTTTTTTGTCTGGTTTACACAGTTTAAGAATACATTCTTTGAACCTGATGCTGAGGCTGTGTTTTTGCTCACTGACATTTGCATCTGTTTTACAGAGAGCATGCTCTGTCGGTGATCAAATACTCGGTTTATTTTCTCTCTTTGATGCTAAGTTCGAGCCCCTTTTTATCCAGCCTCTATAAATATTAACCCATTTTCCTTTGGGTTTTGTTCTTATGTTTCACATTTCTTTTTATCTTGTGTTTAGAATGCTACATAAAGCAGGACAACACAGTTAGCTCCACTTACTGTCTCAGTAGAGTTTACAGTGGAGCTGAAATCCTTATCAACGGTGATACTGCAGCTATCATGTCAGAGTGCCATGCATTCCTCACGTGTTTGTGGCGAGGTCGGTGGATGCAAACCTATGCACGGCCTGCCAGATGAAAGTACAGCACAAAACTTATTTGAGGTATATAACACTTACTGATAATCCTATCCTTTATACCATTATTTTATAGCATAATCCTACTTATTAAAAGAAAAAAGTTTATTGCAAGCAGTGTCCTCACATGTCTGTGTGTTTGCTGTGTCTCTCTGTGTCCTGGGTGTGGTGGTGCACACCGGTAATTCCAGCACCCCACGAGACTAAGCAGGAGGATTAAAAGTTTATGTCCAGCCTGAGCTGTTTAGTGAGATCCTGTCTCAAAATTAAAAAATAAGAAAAAGGGCTGGGAATGTAGCTCACTGCAAAGGCCCTGGGTTTGGTTCCCAGTGGCAGAGAAAAAAGAGACACAGTGTCAATTGATGGACCCGTGCCACCTCGGTGTGGGGGAAGTACAAAACGCCTGGCGATGCGTTTATCAGAACATGTCCCCACTGACAAATGACACACGGCGGGCTGTCATTTGATGTTTGATGCCCCGCCCAAGATTAGTATTCTCCTAGTAAATCCTTTTTCTCCACTGCTTTGAAACACTGTGACAAAGTCCTTCTTCCACAGATTGTCCCTTACATATGCATCTCAATTCCTAAATCTGGGCTCCTCCACAAGCTCCCTCCTCCTCCTCTTCTTTCTCTTCCTCCTCTACCTCTTCTTTCTCCTCCTCCTCACCCTCCCCCTCCTCACAGCAGCTGCCTGCTGCCGCTGAGGACTCAAACAGCACCAAGAGTGAGGAGGAGGAGTATTCAGGGTCTTCCCCGTTCTGGCTCTGCAGTGCTCTAAGTTCAAATTCACATGGAGGGTGTAACTCCCAGACTGCCTCTCGCACATTTGTTGGCCGATGTAGGGTTTACACTGCATCTTTTGGCCGACTTTATCACACAACAGCGGGTGGGTGGATTGTATAGTGTTGTCATCCCCACTTAACAGATGAGGAGACCGAGGTCAACAAAGACTCTGCTCTGGTTCAATCTTGGTCAGTCTCCTCTAGCCATCTTCTCTGTAAGCCCTCACCCTGAGCTCCCGGGTCCATCCCTCTGAAGCCCAGCACTGCCAGGAGCTCTGCAGAGTGAGGCAAGGGAGATTCCCCCACACTCCTCACCCCTACCTCCACCCCAGCATCTGAGCAAGTTCTGCATCCTGCATGGTCTCCCAGGCCCTAGGCTCACTTTGGAAGACTCATTAGGATACGTTAGCAGCAGCCCCACTTGGGGCTTCCTTATAGACATGTGCTGACCCACTGA